TGAGTTTTGAACAGGATGAACCAGGCACAACACTTAAGCACAGCGGCCATTCCATTTCAGCTAAAGAAGCAATCACAGTGCTGAAAGCAACCACAGCCTATGAAAGCACTGCTGAATAAACAGGTGATGGACTAATAACACAAGGGAGTATCTATATAAAAGTTACTAAAGAGTTGCTTAACAACAGCTTATAGACAGCTAACTTTGTATTTTGACTTTGCTTCAGGCTTTCCAAAGTAAACATGAAAGTAAAGGCAAAGGCATCCCAGAAAATGGTGCACACAACTACACAAATATAATTTAGATATGTGCTACAGCAATGCTCATAAGGCAATAATTTTCATAACAGGAGCTCTGCTGATTGCCTCTAACATGGAAAATATCCTAAATTCCAAGCACAGCCTTCTTCCTCCTTTAAAAGTCTGTAGCAGTATGTTACACTGTCATCTTTATACAATGGATTATTTTGATGAGACTATGCTTGGAATATTATGACATGAGTGAGATTTTTAATGTATTCAATGCTATTCAATAGTGAATTATTTCCTGGGCTCACATTCTTGGAAAGTGTCAGCATAATACAAGATGGGGGAACGCACAAAATGGAGTAGCTGGTATTTTAAAACACCTAGGTCAGACTGCCAAAGCCTAGAAAACAAGCCATGTAACTAAATCAGGGAAATTATATTCTTAGTTTTTTAGATTTTTAACTTATGGTTAAGTGCACGTATCATATGCCAAGCTCAGAGCTGTTCTGAAGTCCCATCTGTTTGATCCCTTTCTCCTGCTTTTACTGACAGCAAGGCCTATGCCTGGATTACAGTTACTATTATGCAGAAGACTCACAATAAAACCTGACAGTATATAAACATTTATCCAAACTAGATTTTCATTAAATGGGGATTCAATCCTTCTGCTCTCATGACAGATTTCAAACAAAGCTGAGAAAACTGGTATAATTTTTTTAATCAACTAAATGTAAAAATGGAAAATTTATGCATAAATATGAGCAAGATCACCAAACTCAGAATTCACCAGAACAGCACGTATGCATCAAAAACAGACTGTCCAATGGAATCTGAAAACTCTGGGATTGTAACCACAGTAGCACACATCAGATGCTGATGCACGACCTGCTGTAATTTGGTCAACTGGAAATTATGTTTTGTTTACTGTACATTTGTGAGTCTATTCTTTCATTCTCCATTGACAAAACTTACTCAGGCTTTTTACTGCTTGAAGGAGAGATGAAGGACAGGAAGACAGGATCAAAGGTACATCTCATGCAACTACTCAAATCTATAAAGAGTACATCAGAGTTCATCACCAACGCCAAGACTTCCTGTGCATACACAATTCTCTTAATGGCTTCTTCCAGAGGAGCAATTTTAAAAGTACAATCCTCTTTTCCCCTCAAAAGTTTTTAGCCACTTACTCAACCAATGTTTTCCAGTATTAAATGTGTTATCTAAAGAAAATCCAGGGACTAAAAAGGAAAAAATTATGTAGAAGGAGTGACAAAAAGAGCTCAAAACCACAACCCCGCAAGCCAAACTCAAAAAAAATAACCCCAACCCAGAATGACTTGACATGGGGTATTTTAAATGAGATCATACATAGAAAACTTGAACAGGTCTTTTTAAAGCCTGGATTACATAATGCTCCATTAAACACTGATGTGTCAGAGTTGACTGTGTACTTGATTTTTTTGGTGTAAATTACAAATTAAGGCACCCTCACCATTCAGCTGAAATTCTCAAGGTGGCAACATTGAAAAAAATTTAAGCATATGGAGAAGCTAAATATGAAATTTCCCTGCCGATGACCTTAAAACAAGCTCATGTTAAACCATTCACAAAAATAAACACTGAAGTCACAGCTTCAAAATAGCACAAAACATCCAGTGGATCTTGTTTGTTACCTAACCACGCAGGAGAACTCTTGCCAGTTTACATCCCAGGCAATTTTTCACCAAGAGATAGTGAGTTAAATGCAGAAGTTTGAATAAAAAAAATTGAATTTCAGAATTTGAATTAAATTTAGAATAAAAAGAATTTAAATTTTAAAAAATAATAATTAAATTCCTGTGACTTCAGGACATGTAGGTGAACAGGAATGGAAGATCCATGATCAGGGCTCCTTCTGAGCTCCTGTGCTCCCAGTGGCCTCCTGCAACTCAGCCTCCCCCCTGCCCTTGGCCAAGGGGGCACCCTGGTCCCACTCCCATAGCTGTGGGGTCAAAGGAGGATCCCACAGCACAGGAATGGGCCAGAGCCAGAGCCCTACAACACCCCAGTGCCAACGGGACCCCTGACAGCCAGAGGCAGGAGATGGGCACCTGCCAACCCTCCAACAACACCACCGTGGAGTTTGAGCCATAAGGATACAGAAAAAGCTCAAGGTGTAACTCAAATATTTATTTATTGCTACCAAATCTCTCTTTCTGTCCCTTCATAATTAGCATATTTATCCTTAAAAATGCACACACACAACAAAAACTGCACAACTTCCCAGGAATATCATCTACTAACACCCTTCAGACCTGACCAAGTGGGATAAGAGTTTTTTTGCTCATCCAAGGTCCTCTGTCTGCAGCTGTTCCACATGGCAAACTCCCATTTCAGTAAATTGGTGCTATGCTCCCAGAACAGATGCAAAATCACTCTCACAGTGAGAATATACAATGCAGCCTGATTCCAAGAACAAAGTACCATTTTAAGCCTTCGTAATTCTGTATTCAAATTATTCTTTTTGATTGCAGTGGGAATTCCATAACCCTTGTAAAAAAATTGGTTTTTTACTAGTTAGAGGACAATTACAGTATATCACTACTGTATTTTTCTATATGTGTACACTCTGGCTGTTATTTCTGAGCACAGTTATAGAGAACAGACAGAAAAACACCTGCATCCCACTCATTACAGCACTGTGGCAAAAACACAGTCTACTCAGGCAGAGATACAACATATAAGGGTCAAATTTAAATGTTTCTCTCCCTTAATGACAAACCTATTAGCACAAAAGTGATCCTGAACAAGCTGCTGCTTGCAGTGTCCAAGGTCCTCACAAAACTAAACAAAGTACTACAACTAATCACCCTTTAATTTTTAAAATTTATCTTTTGCTATATGAAAATCATTGCTCTGTATGGGTCTTTTGGTGTTGTACAATTCAAAGTAGCCACCATGAAAAAGATGTTTAATTCCCAGAGGATGTGCCAGTGCCTGAAACTTGTACAGGCAACAAAAACCTCAAACACAGGGGAGCCAAGGGACTCCCAGAGATGCTGCTGCTTCCCTACGCGAGGATAACACAAGGAAGGTGCTGGAAAAATTTCACTCTGCTGGAAAGAATGAAAAGGCAACAATTTGGCTTGCTGAGTTGACAGGGGAAAGCTTGGGTGGGAAACTTCTAACCATTAGCCAGGCTGAACTAAAAGAATCACAGGAAATAAATGAGAATTTGGCAAAGACGATAGGAAAGATCCTGAAAGTCAACAACAAAAAAAAAATGCAGCTCTTAAGAGATATCTTCTGCCAGTATTTTAAAATGTAACCCACAGTTTACAAAACCAGTCTGTTTAAAGAGGTTAGCTACTAAATTTATCAGCCAATTTAAAAATTCTCATATACAGCCATTTTTCTCAGCTATTCTATAGCATTTTTGCTTAGTTTGAATATACTGACTATGAGAAACAGTTAAATAATTGGGTGACATAATTCCCTTAACAGCTCATGACATTTCTAAGAAAGACCAAAAAACCTCATCTGCTTTGAGAAAAAAAAAAACAACTGTGTATTATGATGGAAGTAGAAAAAGACATCAATTTTCCACAATAAATGAATCATATTTAAGCATGCCATACAAAAACATAAAGAAGGGAAATGAATGATCACTGAACCATACACAACTGAATGGGAAAAATCACCAGTATTGTATAAAAAAGTGAAAATCTTGGAAAGATTCTTCTGATAAGCAGAATTTCACCAATCTCTTAACTCATAAATTTCCATTTTTAAGCCAGGCACATGTGACTTTGCAACTTTTTTTTTTTCCTGCTTTTATTGGGACTTAGCAGCTCAAGTCCCAAATCCTTCAAGAAATCTTCTGTCCTTGACACTTTTTATTATTTTTACTAGAGTTGTCCATACATTTAGGTGTTCAGATCAGAATTTGGGCATATGAATGCCCAAGTGATACAAGTGTATCTCAGATACACCTTTTGTGTGCCATACACAGTACCACAGGAGTAAATTAGGTCACAAGTAGTCCAAAATGGAAACCTGTCCTTGTGTCTAAAAGATTGCTTAAATAATTGGGGGACTGGTGGATACGTGTGCTAAAGTCCTCATCTTTAGGAAGATACTGCAGTATTCCTTCTGTATATCACTTTTTTTTACTGGCCTCCATGGCTAAATAATAAATGATCTGGCTTTCTTTTCTGATATTTTCAATACATTCAAGATGGCCTCGCATAATAGCAGAAGTTCAGGAGTATAAAAGTGTACAGCAGCTATAGTGCAGGTTCAGATGGCTATCACAGTCCATTTCATCCTTCAGTAATTAAACTTAAGAAACCCTAATTCCTAAAACTACTAGCCCTTCCTCTCTCTCAATTAACAGCACATATAGCTATTGTCAAATACTCTACCTGGAGTACCCAAAATAAAGGATGCTTCTGGTATGTAAGGGAATATAGGACTTTCATATGTAAAAAACCCAACAAAATGAAACAGGAATCCTTACACGATTAGAAAGTGGAATATTGAAGATTTTTCTCATCTATGGAAAGATCAAAACGTTGCTTCTTGCATCTAAATATTTCTATTTATGATGACCACAGTCTAGTAAAAAACCCACCAGCTGCGAGGGATGCAGTCAAACTGGAGGGAAAAAATTGCATTACTTTCCAGCATTCTACACCTGAATGTTTATTTTTTTCCTAATGCTTCCTCCCTGAGGCAGAAGGCCTTTCTGGCACGTTCTGGCAGGTGACTTACCGGCAGTGTTTGTGGGATCCCGTCAGGGTTTCGATCACAAAGCATTCCCCCTCGTTGAGACAATACGCCAGGTCCTTGTCCTTGCATGGCTTAAAGTGCTCCGAGCGCTCCGTGGAATACGTCGTGGTGTCTGAGGGGAAACAGGCAGAGCAAAGAAAGGCTGTGAGGATCAATACTGGCTGTTCCTGCAGCACATGGGAAATTAATTTGATCACACTGGGCTCAGTGACATCACACACACACTAAAAGAAATGCAAAGCACAGGGCATGCCAACCTCCCTTTGACCACAGCATGATTTGCAGTCAGGTTTCTTGAAAGATTCACAATAAATACCTGCAGAAAAACAAACCAGACTGCAGCAAAGTTGGAGTATGATCTCAACCACAACCAATTTCCAAGGTTTCCCTGCTCAAATGTAAAGACACCTACTTTGTTTACTTTAACCAGAACAATATCTTCATATTACCACACCAAAATATGGTTTGAAATGAGATACAATTTTTTCATAAAAACCGAACAAAGTAGTTAATGCAACATAAATTAAAATTAAAAAAAAAATCAAAAAACTCAAAAAAACCCCCAACAAAACCCACTACAACGAAAGAGGAAAAACAAAGCCAAACACCCAAGATCAACGCTAATTTGAATCACCAGTCAGAAAGAACAGGCTAAAACTCAAACACAAGCAATGTACCGGTGATTGTGCAATTTCACACGGATCATCCGTAGGTGTATATAAGCCCACCCCCAAAACACATATAAAGGCTTGATTACAGGTAGAACTGTTGGCTGCACCTTTGAAATATTTAGGTAGATAATTAGATTTGGAATAGACTGACAGTAGGATGTCAGGGTGAACTATCATTCCTGTCTTCTAATAAAACTCTTTAACCTTTCCAATCCAGTTGGATTAATCAACAATAAAGTGAAATTTTCAGAGGAAGATGCCTGACTGACACATATATTAATTTTCTTCACTATGACAAGGTTCTGTCTAACGAAGTGTGATTTTCAAAGTAGATTATAATTTCCACAGAGCCATGGTTGAATCTTCATATTCAATCTTAATTCAAAAAGTTTGAATTTCTAATCACTTTGCAGGACCTGATATACACTGAAATGGTAAGAGAACATTTCATGGTATATAATACAGCCTATCACAAAATATTACTTTAACTGCTGTCAAATAAATGAAGCACTGCTCAATAGACACAGAACCTCACAAACTCCAAGTTATACACACACTAACTTGGGTTTTGCTCATAACTGAACACAAGGTAAATATCCACCAAACTAACACCAAAGTTGAAAACCAAGATACTGAACCTGCAACAACATACCTGTAACTACAGTTCTGCCAGAAAATTCAGATAATCCCAAAAAAAGTCAAGTGACTATTTTTTTCTCAGTATATTTTTAATAAAACACCTCTACAAGTTTTCCTTATATGCAGACTAAATGACAGAAGATAAATTAAGATAATAAAACACATTTGAAAACAATAAGAAAATCCACACCCTATTCTTTGTATGCAACACTTCTTTGTTTTTCTTCTCCAGAAAGAAAATGTTGTAGTTCAGTGTTTTCAATGGAGAGAAAAAATACCCTGGGAAGAAACTCTTAACAGTCTTTCCTCAAATGGTTTTACAGGTTCAGAACAAAAGCCTGTGCCATTGTCCCCAGCAGCAGCACTTGTAAAAAGATGCAGGCTAAATAGAAACTATGTTTTTAATGTTTGCAAGCAAACCCTGAACTGAAATGTACCAAGCTGAATTTTGGAGATGCACAAGATGTATAATACAAGATATTTATATATCCAAACATCTATAAGTGAGACTAGCATCTCATGGTTGGAATTTCAAGACTGATGAGCTTTAATGTAAAAAAAAAAAAAAAACCTCATATAGAAAAGATGTAGCCCAGTTACTTTTTAAGGTCAGTTTTACCCAGGAGCACTAAAATGACCATTTAAAACTTGATTAGGCAAAAAAATAACTACAAACCTGAGTAGCCAGTTGTGTTTCTACCCCTTTTAAATATGGAAAACTGAAGGTAACATTATCTGAAAGCACTCCTGGTAATTACAAAAGCTAAGTAAAACTGTTCGATGAGCAGAAACTGAGATTGATCCAGCTTTAGGGAACAGAACCCTTGCAATTGTGAGCCTGCTCTGAGGAAGCAACCTGTGCAAACACCTTTATGAAGGTGCACAATGCACAGACCAAAGGAAAGCGAGGCGCTCCCAAAGGACAGGAGCAGACAAGGGGGATCCAGCGTGACTGAGGCAGTGACGCAGGGAATTCTCAGAGCATGGCTTTGAAGTGCATGAGTCTCCTCTGCACCATCATTAAACCAACAACACCTTGCCAAGGTCAGCATTTTAAAGTTTTAGATGAAATAGATTCTTTAGAAGTTTTGTTCTGCTTTATTTTAATTATTCCTCTGTTTAATATTAGTCAATCCTAGTGTTTTATTTATAAATGGGTGTAAGCTGCAATACTTCATTTTCCCCACTTGGACACAATCTCAAGCTTTTCTTTTGTGCTTTGTCCCTCACCTTCAAATTAGTGACACTTGAAGGTAATGATGCTGGCAACTCCTTATGGCAGCCTTGGATTGCACTCCTAATGCTGAAAATTGCTAAAGAATTGGTAACTTTTAAATTTTTTTAATAAATAATCTCATTAAAAGTCACTTTTCGGTTAGAGTCTTCTGATTTGGAATATTTGTACAAGTCTAAGCAGGTTGGTGCACATGGACTCTTCAGAGATCCCTGGCTGCAGAGACCAGGTGTCTGAGCTGAAAGGTCATTTACCAACATTCCAAAGCCCCATCACTAACTGATATATCCTGGATATCCCTGGAGCTGCTGGGTGCTTCCTGCTGGAGACAACTCCCATATCCCATACATGAGTTTCATAGAACTTACAATCCTGCTGTTGTTTTATGTTGCATTCACAAACTCTGCTACAGCCTCATTAAATATTGATAGAAACAAAACGTAAAAACTGGTTCTAAACATAACTACAGAACGTACAAAACAACAGAGAACACTGTAGAGACTACAGAGTTTTCCTGATCCTTTGTCGAATAAATAATAAATCCTATTGTCTCTTGTTTTATTTTACTCCTAACCAAATACTGAATTGCCTTTTCCATGGTGGAACTGTCCTTCACAGCTTCAGAAGCCTGGTAAATAAACACCATTGTATTGTGATGTTTGCCTTTTTTATTATTTTTTTAGAAGAACTAATAAAACCTAGGCATTCAAAAAATTGAATAACACAGCCCCTTAATTTACTTTTAGCCTTTGAATGTGGTAATAGTCCCAAATGCTTATAGGTAACAAAGGGGAATTTCTTTTAAGTATACAGATGTCCCTGAATTCAGTGCATATTCCTTAAGGTATTTTTCATGTTTTTAATTGCCATGTGTCCAGGTGTTTTATTTAAAAGCAACAGGGATATTGATTTCTGCTGGAATCTTTCCAACTAAGTTGGAATAAAAAAATTCTAGGCACTCTTGTTATAATTTTTCTTGCCTTACTATATCAGCAAAGGTTTACACATGATTCCCATACTCCAAAAACTAATATATCACTGCCAACCCTCAGTTACCACTGTGTAATCAAATGAACCGGAATTCCATTCCCATTTCAAGATCTTTTATAAACATAGAGTTGGTTTCTAAAAACATTCAGTCTTTGGGACTGTTGAAAAAATCAGCAGGAAGTTCAGAGATATTTTTTTATTTTGTTTAGGTCTAAGACAGTATAAAAAAGTGTTAGTGAAGTTGTATTCTTGCCTCATTAATGTAGGTCATCCTGTTTATACCAGCACAGGATGGCTCATTATGGCTGATTTCTGAGTGATCTCCAAGGCATGATATGGTTACTAGAAATGCTATTTGCTCCTTCAAGGCTACCACTTTCAGTGTTTACAGTGCTGATACTGTGTGTTTTCAGTGCCCTGATACTGCCAGGGAAAAATGCAGGAAAAGAAAAAATGCAAGATGTAAAATACCCTGGGAAACAGCAGCATTCGGGGAAGCTGCTGCTGCACAGATTGCAGGAGCAGCCATGCCCATCCATCACACCTGTCCTGCACCATTCCAGCTTCAGAAACAGATTTCACTGGTTACACCTCACACAGAGCAACTTTCCTATGCTAGCTGTAAATGATACACCCATTTTTTCTGGGCAGACAGCATTAGCTACTGAAGGGAGAAAAATGACCCAGGAGAACAAGAGATGGAAAGGCCTTATATAACATTTGTGAACTACCCAAACTCTGCAGCTACAGAGTCACTGACACAGGTAAGGCAAAAGCTGGGTGCATTTCCACCAAGGAATATTAAGACACAGCTCATTTTAAGACCACAGCTCACAAACTAAAAGACTTTTTTAAATGCTGCATATTTTGACTACCAGGGGGTATTACCAGCTTTACAGATTCAGTATCGACACGCAAACTGGCTTTTCCTTTATCTTTTTATCCATTTATAACTGATCATGTCCCAGAGAACCATTACTTACTGAGACACCAAAAAAGCAAGATGCTTATTTTAAATCCCTGATCCCATTTCTAAACACACTGCAAAAAATAAGCCAGACACAGGTAACTGAATTGCCTCTGAAAATATAACTCTAGTTATCAAAAAAAAACCTTAAGAAACCCCAACATATATTCCTGTGGCACTACTGCATTCTACAAAGAAGGCAGCATAAAAAGTCAGTTAATAGCATATAGGGAGTTAAATTTTGTTTTTGTTCAAGTCAATGGCAAAATATTTACAATAATTCACTATAAGCAGGGTTCCCTGAAGTTCCTATAGGGTCATCTAGTGCTTCTATCCTGATATCTCAGAATTATCCACATTATCCCTAACTAGAAAAAGTCTTGCACAAAAAATGAAACTTACACACAGAATATTTTAGATGTGATTTTGTTTATTCACTTACTGAACCTTAAAAACCATAGAACGTAAAATTTTTATCCCTGTGCTTCTAGAAGTATCCTGGTTTAGGAAGGTTATTTCCCAGTTTAGCACTTCCCCTATTCCCTCTCCAGCTAGAAACACAAAAGGTAACCTCGATCAGAGGTTGAGATAAGAGCGATTTACTGGAAACAGCGAGGAGAAAAGAAAAGGAATAGTAACAGCAACAATATTGATTGCAAAATGTAC